CCCCCCCCCGCCCCCCCCAGTGTGGCCAGGAGGGCCATGTGGCGTTGAAGCGTGTTTCCACCACCTTCTAAAGACGATCCTCGCTAATGCAGTGAAGAAGTCCGCAAACCCCGCTTCTGGGCGGTTGTGGTCAAATACGATGTAGTTTTGCCTGAGGGGCACACAGGCCACCTCGCAGGGACTGGCTAAGTGTCTAGTGCTGTGGGGTGGGATGTAGAGAGACCCCAAACTGCAGGTCTCACTCTTGCGGAGCTCACGGGCCGACCGTGGGAATGTGTCCTCCCTCTCGGCCCACCCGGGTTGAAGGAGACACAGCCTAGCGCGTCTCCCCCACCGGGAGCCAAGGTATCTGTAGGTGACAGTTCTGTCATTGCCTCCGCTCTCTCCAGCCATTGCTTTCAGTCCCTTGCCCGCTACATCCTCCCACTGCTGGGCTCTCTGCTCCCACTGTTTGTCTTAGTGGCGTCCGTGCGGCAGGCCACGGGGCCTCTGCAGCAGCCTGGGGCGTGTCAGGCTCAGAAGGGACCACGGCTCCCTCCTGCTTAGGCTTCATCCTCCAAGACGGGCCCGTGCGCCTGATCTCTGCTCCTCTAGGCCCCGTACGTCCTTTCTTACATTGAGTCTTTCTTACATTGAGTCGGTCACCCAGTGTCATAACTGCCTGTGACCTGTCCTCTCCATGGAGGGCAGCCCCTAAGGGAGAGGCTGCGGTTATAGTTCCAGCTCCAAGCAGCTGGCTTGTGACTAGTGTTTTGTTAGTGAAGGAAGGATTGTCCATGGAGGACGGTCTTGATGGCCTCGTGAGTCCCTTGCCCTGAACGTGAGGACTCTGGGGGCCCTGCCACACCCCACATCTTCAGTGAGGTGAGCTCCTACAGAGCCCTGGGGCCTTACATGCCTCACACCTGGGAGTGCAGCTGAGCCCAGGAGCCGGGGACGTTTTTCGCTGGCCCCACAGACTCACTCAGCCATCCAGCCCTCAGGCCACCTTGGCACGGATTCGGAGCTGTTCCCACCTCTTGGTTCATCCCCACCAAACCCATGTCTCGCTGGGGTGGGTTCCAACCGAGGCTTTGGGTGCCGGCTTTGGAATTCACTGGCACTGATTTGCTCGGACCCAGGCCTTGAGCCAGATCCCGGGCAGACATGAGTCAGACCTGGGAAGGGAAGGGCAGCATACAGGAGGGCATATGCAAGCATACAGGAGGGGCTGAGAGCTAAGGATCTGTCCCAGGGGTGATGATCAGCTGGGGAGGCAAATCCAAACTGGAAGTGTAGCCCATTCAGAGACAGGGCACAGAGCATTTGGGACCCTGCGAGTGGGTCAGTGGCGTTGGGGTGTGGAGTGAAGCAGGGAGGAGCCTCCCCCTTCTTTCTGTCCCCGAGTATCGGTCTGCGGAGGGGTGCCAGGCTAGGCTGGGATCCTTCACCGAGCAGAGTTGGTCCGGGGCTTCTGAGCAAAGGGTGTGCTTTCCAGGTCGTGTCCTAATCGAGGACACTCCTCTGTGTCAGCAAGGGCAGCCCCCACCCTATCTGTCCCAGGGCCCCTCCGCCAAGCCGTGTCGGGCCCCGACGGGGGTGCGACCTGCTTTCAGGCCTCGTACACTTTGCTTCACCTGTCCGAATGGGCTTCCTTTTATCTCTAAGCCGGGGTCGGGAGCACAGCTGATTCTCTGAAGGGCTCGCAGGGTAGCGTAACGGGACCGTACTCGTGGGTGGCTGGCGCAGGAGCACCCGGAGGAGGTCAGCAGGAAGCCGAGCCCCCACTAAGCCCTTCCCTCTGCCCCACAGGCGCGAGCCCAGGCTGAGGCCCTCCGCATCAGTGACGTGCATTTCTCTGTCAAGCCAAGTGCCAGCGCCTCCTCGCCCAAGCTGCACTCCAGCGCGGCCGTGCACCGGCTCAAGAAGGACATCCGCCGCTGCCACCGCATGTCCCGCCGCCCCCTGCCCCGCCCGGACCCCCAGGGAGGCAGCTCTGGCCTGCGCCCACCCATCTCCCCTTTCTCTGAGACGGTGCGCATCATCAATCGCAAGGTGAAGCCTCGGGAGCCCAAGCGAAACCGCATCATCCTGAACCTGAAGGTGATCGACAAGGGCACGGGTGGAGCGGGCACCGGGCAGGGGGCAGGAGCCCTCGCTCGCCCCAAAGTCCCCTCCAGGAACCGGGTCATCGGCAAAAGCAAGAAGTTCAGCGAGAGCATCCTGCGCACCCAGATCCGCCACATGAAGTTCGGCACCTTCGCGCTGTACAATAAGCCCCCGCCCGGCCCTCCGCCTCCCCCGCCAGCGGGCAAGGCCGACCCTGCCGCCTCCCCGGGCCCCGGGCTGCTGCTGGCGGCCCCCGCCGCCCCCTATGACGCCCGCAGCTCCAGCTCCTCCGGCTGCCCCTCCCCGGCACCGCAGTCCTCCTCCGACCCCGATGACGCGCCCCCCAAGCTGCTCCCTGAGACCATGAGCCCATCTGCTCCCGACTGGCGTGAGCCTGAGGTGCTCGACCTGTCCATCCCTCCCGAGGTGGCGGCCACCAGCAAGAGGGTGCCTCCCGACGTCACGGCTGCCACGGGCCAGGCGCCTCCCGTGGCCCCTGAGCCTGCCGGCGCCTCCTCTGAGCCCGAAGCTGGGGACTGGCGCCCCGAGATGTCACCCTGCTCCAACGTGGTCGTCACCGATGTCACCAGCAACCTTCTGACAGTCACTATCAAGGAATTCTGCAACCCTGAGGATTTCGAGAAGGTGGCCACTGGGGTAGCAGGTGCCACTGGGGGTGGTGGCGGCAGTGGGGTGAGCAAGTGAAGGGGCTCCACCGAGGTGGGGGGGGGGCTGGGGGGGCCCTCCTGCCCAGAGCC